CTCCGAGGAGTTGCATCCCAAGAAAAGGGAGAGGCGGCGACAAATTGATTGCGAAAGGCCGCGCAGAGGACGGAGAGAGCGAAAACGTGGGGGAAACACATCGGCGAGTCAAAGCGGATCGGATGATGCAAGTCCCACCCGCCCTTTAGGGCGTAGGTGGTCTAGGGTGTTTTGTCCATCTGCCCCTTTTCCTCTTCGGGGAGGGGTCTCATCACTGCTACTCATGAATATACACTCCCTCCCCCACCCGGCCAGCGGCCAACCCGGAACCATGCCGACCCCATGCGGGCCCACCCCCCACCATCCCTGCCAAAAAAAAATCTGGCGACGTACCCAACCCATGCGCAGTGCAGGGCAGGAGTGGATTGGGAGATTTGATGAGAGACATGAACGCATATATTCTGCGAGCAGTATTCGGGAGGTTCGCAGGTCCCCGATCAAGGGCAAAAACGTGCTGGAGTTGAGCAACTAAGTGAACCCCTGAGTCACTAAGGCAAGGTCCAAACGGAGAAGGCGGGCAACGGGCTTGAAACGTCGGCGGGGCAACAACGACATGGCATGGCTCCCTCTAACCAAAATTCCCACGCGACGACGCATTTTCTGAACCAGCGGCGGGGCGCCGCTAGGCTGGCACTCCGCAAGTTCCCCTGGAAATAGCGACAGTTTCGCAGATCGCAACCCGTCTCCCCTGGATTGAGGGGTCTGCGCTGGAAATGCGACGGGGCTAGCCTACTACTGCTAATCCTCCGCCCCAGTGACGGCGAGGTCCCGCTCAGGTCTGCGCGGTGCCTCACTCCGCTGGACCCACCAGCAGCCCTCGGAAGTGGCGACAACGTCGCAGATCGCAGCCCCCCAGGGACGGCTAGGTCCCGCTCAGGTTTGCGCGGTGCCTCACTCCGCTGAACCCACCAGCAGCCCTCGAAAGTGGCGGCAGTGTCGCAGATCGCATCCCCCAGGGACGGCGAGGTTCCGCTCAGGTCTGCACGGTGCCTCACTCCGTTGGACCACCAGCAGCCCTCGAAAGTGGCGACAATGCCGCAGATCGCGGACCCCCAGGGTGGCAGATCGAATCCCCCAAGGACGGCGAAGTCCCGCTAAGGTCTACGCGGTGCCTCACTCCGCTGGACCCACCAGCAGCCCTCGAAAGTGGCGACAATGCCGCAGATCGCAGCCCCCCAGGGACGGCGAGGTCCCGCTCAGGTCTGCGCGGTGCCTCACTCCGCTGGACCCGCCAGCAGCCCTCGAAAGTGGCGACCGTGTCGCAGATCGCAGCCCCCCAGGGACGGCGAGGTCCCGCGCAGGTCTGCGCGGTGCCTCACTCCGCTGGAATCACCAGCAGCCCTCGGAAGTGGCGACAACGTCGCAGATCGCAGCCCCCCAGGGACGGCGAGGTCCCGCGCAGGTCTGCGCGGTGCCTCACTCCGCTGAACCCAGCAGCAGCCCTCGAAAGTGGCGGCAGTGTCGCAGATCGCATCCCCCAGGGACGGCTAGGTCCCGCTCAGGTCTGCACGGTGCCTCACTCCGTTGGACCACCAGCAGCCCTCGAAAATGGCGGCAATGCCGGAGATCGCGGACCCCCAGGGTGGCAGATCGAATCCCCCAAGGACGGCGAAATCCCGCTAAGGTCTGCGCAGTGCCTCACTCCGCTGGACCCACCAGCGGCCCTCGAAAGTGGCGACAGTACCGCAGATCGCAGCCCCCCAAGGACGGCGAGGTCCCGCTCAGGTCTGCGCGGTGCCTCACTCCGCTGGACCCACAGCCCTCGAACGTGGCGATAATGTCGCAGATCGCAGCCCCCCAGGGACGGCGAGGTCCCGCTCAGGTCTGCGCGGTGCCTCACTCCGCTGGACCCACCAGCAGCCCTCGAAAGTGGCGACCGTGTCGCAATTCGCAGCCCCCCAGAGACGGCGAGACCCCGCTCAAGTCTGCGCGGTGCCTCACTCCGCTGGACCCACCAGCAGCTCTCGGAAATGGCGACAGTGTCGCAGATAGCAGCCCCCCAGGGACGGCGAGGTCCCGCTCAGGTCTGCGCGGTGCCTCACTCCGCTGGACCCTCCAGCAGCCCTCGAAAGTGGCGACAATGTGGCAGATCACTGCCCCCCACCGACGGCGAGGTCCCGCTCAGATTTGCGCGGTGCCTCACTCCGCTGGACCCACCAGCAGCCCTCGAAAGTGGCGACCGTGTCGCAAATCGCAGCCCTGGACGGCGAGGTCCCGCTCAGGACTGCGCGGTGTCTCACTCCGCTGACCCACCAGCAGCCCTCGAAAGTGACGACAGCGTCGCAGATCGCAACCCCCCGGGGACAGCGAGGTCCTAGACGGGTACCGCAAGCAAATAGAGAGAGAGAGAGAGAGCGAGAGAGAATGAGAGAGAACAACAACAACAACAACAACAACAACAACAACAACAACAACAACAACAACAACAACAACAACAACAACAACAACAACAACAACAACAACAACAACAACAACAACCACAACCACAACCACAACAACAACAAGAGCAACAACAACAACAATAACAACAACAACAACAACAACAACAACCAAAGAAAAGAGAGAGAGAGAGAGAACAAAAGAGAGAGAGAGAGGCAGAAGCATGAGGCGGGAGGCGGGGGGAGGAAGAGTAGGAGAAGGAGACGCGCCCGCAATGCTCTATTCAAAACGAATACCCAACCAAGGAGGGCTGGGAACAATACAAACCGCACTCTGCCTCCACATTTGGAACACGCGCGCCCAACACTCTGCGCCCCCCCCCCCGCCGATCCCTGTCCAAAAGCATTATACTAAGTCACCGGTTTATTTTTGGCCAGCGGGGTGATTACTTGTGTCGAGAGCTGATTCTTCTCGATCGCGCGGCGCGGCAACCCTTATGGCTGCCGCGACGTGCACTTCAGAACGAGACCAACACTCTGCGCAGGTTAAGCGGGCGGGTTCTTGGGTGGGAGCCTCACATGCCATAGAATACTGATGCATACAGAGACGGACGGCACGATGGTGAAAATGGGAAAACGCCGTTTTCCAGACACCCTGTACCTGGGCGGCCCGGGCGGATTTCCAGACACCCTATACCCAGTAGCTGTCTCTTGCATGTATATCTGTTGACAGACGGCCAGCCAATCCCAGGAAGGACACGAAACTGAAATTAAAATAAACGACTCTAGTCCGTCACCTGTTTATGTTTGGTCAGCGGGGTGATTACTTGCGTCGAGAGCTGATCCGAGCTCGATCGCGCGGCGCGGCAACCCCCATGGCTGCCGCGCCGTGCACTTCAAAACGAGACCAACCACACCTTCTAAATCAAGCAGCTGCCCGCATGTAGATCCTGGCCGGAGGTCCGAGGCGTTTAATGCCTCAGAGGCCCACCTCTAATCTTCCCGCTGGAAAAGTCATGAGACAGATCATTCGCACCAGCAGCGACGGGCTTGAAATCGTCAATATCTGAGTTCGCGCTGCCTGGGCCCGGCAAAACTTTCGAGGAGGCCGAAAAGGCTCTGCAACACAGCGCGGCGAGTGGATTCCTGGCAACCCGGGCAGGTTCGAGCGCATCCAGCAGAGAGCGACCAGGGTCGTTCCAGAAGTTCCGCCCCATGGAAAGTTCAGCCCTAGAAAGAGAGGCCCCACTGGCAGTCAGAACGCGTTGCTTAGTGCATCCCTGGACCGAGCTCAGAGCCGACCACCTCCCTCTCCTCCGACACGACTCGAGACTCCCATTTCTGAACACAAACTCTGCCGCCCCCGAATGGCGGGGCGAGTGCGGCGGGCCGACACCCGAGAGGCCGAAGGCAAGCGCGGCCATGCCCCAGTGCCTGCGGCACTCCGTGGTGGCGAGGGAGAACACGAGGCCCTCCGGCGGAGCGGCCCCCGCCATCTGCCCGAGCACGTTGGCAACGCTGGGCGCTCCCAGCAGGAGACCTTGATTCGCCCCCGCCTTGACAATTTCGCCCCTGGCTCGACTTCCGAGCCTGGCGGCCACGTCGTCGCCGCCCGCGATCACGCCCTCGCCCCTCAGCAAGTACCAGTCCTGCTCGCGGCCGAAGGTGTCGCACGAGCACAGCACTGCAATGGCGGACGCGATGCATCCAAGCTGGATCAACATGAGAACCATCAAGGCTACCACTTCTCTGCTGATGGCGTTTCCTTCTGGCATCATCCTGAGCGCCTCCCTGGCCTTGGCGGCCCCGGCGCCCAGCGGCATCGAATCCCTGTGATCTGGGAAGATGCGACAAAAGCTCGAAAGAAGATGCCCACCGCGAACTTGCGGCAACTGCAGGTGTAGCACATGAAAGCCAAGTGCTGGGCCATAGCAGCGCCCCTCTGCTTCATCGCGTCAAGCGGGATGCCGTCTCCCTGCGCCGCCGACAAGAAGCGGCGGACACAGTTCACGTAGATCCAGTCAGTATTGTCGTCGACCTCGTGGACCAACAGACGCGGGGCGTGCTTGCCAAAGCCGTCGAACGCCTTCCTGTCGGCCGAATTGATCCACGCCCTTGCTCCTCGCCTCATCAAGGGGGCCACCTCCATTCTCCTTCCTGGGTATCGATCGCCACCTGGAAAATCATGGACTTCGCTCCTCGTGGCTCTGGTTTTCGCCTTGCTCGAACGCGCAGCGGCGCCGTGGCCCACCTCGCCAGGGCGGCCAGCGTCCTTCACGCCCGCCACGGCGTCGCCGACCACGAACAGCAAGATCAGGATGAGGCCGGGGGAGCAAGGGCTGAGGCGTGGCTAGCCACCGCGACGCGCTGATATCAATCCGCTTCCTTCACGCGCGACGTCTTTGCGCGAGGTCGGAACCTCTTCGGCCGCGCCAGCACCTTTTTCGGCATGCCCTCGACCTTCAAGCGCGCCTTGCCCACGGTGCCATCGTCGACCCCCAAGGGCCCACCTCGCGACGGCAAGCGACGGCCCGTCGGCGACATTGCCGGGGCTGGAGACCCACCCGAAGAAGGGCCTCGCTCCCGTCACCAGCTGGACTGCAGCAGCTCGCCGACAAGGACGGAGAAGCGACTTCGAGCTCGCGCCCCGGCACTCGAGAACGTTCTGGCGCTCCCCCTTCCCCCACTCCTTCACGGCGATGAGGTGCCAGCGCGCTCGTCTCGACCAGGCCGCGCCCACCTCGGGCGGCGGCCCTCCAGCGGGTCTGGAGGCCAGGGCGCCCCCCGCCCTCGAGCTGCCCCCCGACGAGCGGGCAACAGGGGCCAGGTCGACCAGCAAGTCGGCGCACGTCCCGGAGAGCTTCCATGGGCACGGGCACGCCACCTTGGCCCAGAGCTCGTTCGCCACCGACAAGTAGCCCGACGCCACAGATGGCACTCGCCCTCGAAGCTCTCGGCGCGGCCGACCAGTGGCAGAGCAAAGCCCCTTTGACATGCAGCACCTCCTGCCCAGCGGGCGCAGGGCCTCGCGATTCGCGACGACCCTCGAGGCCCCCCCACCACTCCTCCTAGCATTGGCAGTATTCCTAGATGACCGAGAACACGGACTCGCGCATGCACTACGCCTGCATCGGCTCGAAGTCCCAAGACAAGGAAGTCGCCGGGTTCTCGATGAAGAAATACACGTCGCGCTCCACGCAATAGACCGCCAGCTCGACAGCAAGAAGCATTAAGAAAGTGCCCGTCTTGACCGCCTCGGCACGCACGAAGGCCAGACCCGGCAGCCCAAGCAAGAAGTCCGCGGACCGCAACGGTGGCGAGCGCGCCCTGGACCACGCGGCACACTGAAGCCCCATGTGAATCATCCAATAGATCCCCGCTCGCACGGCACGCCGTAGTCGCCCAAGACCCCCGTCGCCCGTCGAGTCGAACTCCGCGCCGTTCTCGACGCCCCACGCGTCCGCCCAGCAGGAGGTCAACGTCGCCACGGTCAGCGCGAGCCTCGCCGATCCCGAGAACAGTTCGATGAAACTGGGCTGCCCCTTTTCAGTGCCCCTCGCTCTGGCGCTCGTCCGCTTCGGTCATCACGTCTCTCTTCGCGACGGCCTCCTCCTCGATCTGGCTGCACGCGCCCTCGACGCTGGTAGCCCAGCCTCTCGCCTCGCAGAACTTCGACTCCGTCATCAGCTCGCCCAGCGTCGCCGCGGCGGCGACGACCCCGCGGCCCCAGGACGAGGCGCCTGACATGAATGAAAGCCCAGTCGCGCCGCCCCGCTGCGAGGTCCGTGGAGAGGCAGATGGACATGGACACGATCGCGGCGATCTCGCCCTCCACCTCGCCCCAGAGGACCGCCAGGTCGACCCCCCGAAACTCCCGGGGCCCAGGCGTAGATTCCGCGCGGCATGCTCAATGCCGCCCTCGCGCACATCATAGCCCAAGCGGCCAGGCCCAGCCAGGACCCCACCCCCTGCGGCGCGACTCCCCGTCTCGCAAGGAGGCGCGCGCCCGCCAACACGAGGCCCTGCATCTTCTCCTCCACGATCTGCGACCGGCCCTCGGAAGAGAGGGCGGCCCCCAGCGCGCGCTCCAAGCCGCCACCGAAGCGCCCCTTGTGAGACTTGAGCCCACGTGCCTTGAGCTCGCCCATGATCCGACACAGGTCCGAAGCCACGGAGAGCACGGCGTCGCCCGGGCCCTTCGGCCCCAGGCGCATCCCCCCGCAGTCGTCGATGAACAGCCATTGGAGCACGGCGGCGTCGTTGAACTGCGGCGCCGGCAAGCCCGTCTGGACTCGACCAGCCCCGCCCTCGAACTTCACCTGGCCCACTGCGTCCTGGAGGCAGCCGCGGGCGAAGGAGACCGCCCACGAGAAGCCGGCACGCCGCCAACGAACGAGGCCACCTCCAAGTTGCCCGCCACGTCGTCGCTCAGCTCGATCGCCGCCAGGGCCGCCGGCGAACCCATCGGCGCCCAGGGAGGCGCTCGAAATCGGAGGTCGGCCCTCCGAAGGCGCCACGCCAGCCGGGAGATCACCTCGCCCTTGTCGTCGACCATCTTCGACACCGTGAACACACTCACGCACGCGTGCGCCTCGGACGCCCGGGCGAGCATCCTGCCCGCCAACAGCTTCCTCAACTGACGTAGCCGCGCCTGCCGACTCCTGAGAGCCAGGTCCGAGCACGGCCGAATTGATTCGTACTTCACCCAGTCCGCCTCGAGTTCGTTTTTGATCATGGTCTCCTTGGGGCATGACAAATGCGGCGCGGCCGTCGGTGGCGCTGCGCTCAGCTCGGCCGGCTCCACCCCCCGCCTGGGGCAGCGACGTCCTCGACCACGAGTGGACACTAGTCGCCTCGACAGATTGATCCACGCTTGCTTCCACCAGACACCGCTTGATACGGCCCAGGAGAATCTCGCGCCAGGCGAACGAAAACCGCCTCGCCATCGGGAAGCTCCCCGCAGGCCCGCCGGCTCCACCGCAGACCCCACGCTTTCGAAGTCACTCCCCTTTGGGCAGCCGCGGCACTCTCCCAGGCCTTCGAGGAGCCTCTCCAACTCGTCGACGCCAAGCCCGACAATGCCCCACGAGTCATCGCCACGATGGCAGTCACCGAGCGGTTCACCCTCTCCAAGGTGAGGATCAGCTCGCCGCCCGGCCCCTTCCCAGTACTCTCCGAAAGGAGACCCCCCGGGACCTCGGCACCCCGCCCACAGGATCGCGGGCACGAGAGCGCGCCATGAAGGACACGGGCAGGCAGACTGCGTCGGGCCCCGCGCAGACGCGACCGACGACGATGCTGACCCTGGCAAGCTCCAGCACGCACATTGCCGAGGCCGAGACCACCACTTGTTATCCGACACAACGCTAAACTCCAACACTGAATTGCGCGCGCGACGTCCACATCTTCACTCGACCAGACCTCGCACGATGCGCGGCCTCATCCGCGCAAAGAACTTCGACGCCATTTGCGCCCGATGTTGCGTCCGATTGCGCGTCCGATGCGGGTCCGATTTGGGTCCGATATTGCGCCCGATTGTTTGTCAGATTATACATCCGAGTTGCGTCTGATCTGTTTTGATACTGAATCGGAACGAAAAAATCGGACACGAAATCGGTCGCGAATTCGGGCGCGAAATCGGACGCTTCTGGGCGCGTTTCCAAGAGCTTCTGCGGACGATCCTCTGAGCTAGCGTCTGCGCGATACTCAGCAAATTTTGATGGCGCTGTCCTGGGCGCCGTTCTCGGCGCTCTCCTGGGCCGGCCTGGGCGTTCGCCCCAGCGCGCCCCCGAGTGCTCCTGCGGGCGCTGTCCTGGTCGCCCCCAGCGCGCCCTCTGGACACCATCGCGCGCCAAGTATGCGGCGTGAAAACCGGCCCCCAAAAAAAAATCACAGGCAAATCTGCTCTGCCACCGCGGCGAGCGAAACGCGCCACAAAAACTTGCAGCTGAACTTGAAGAACGCGTCGAGCAGCGCTCGGCCCCCCCAGGGAACCTCCCGCCCCTCACTTGCCGAAGGCGAGGCCGGCGACCGTCGCTCATCGCCCCCTCCGCCTGGACCTCCAGCGCCCGGGTTGGCCTTGTCCGAGTACTTCGCGAAAGGGGCTGCGTGCTCGAGGCGCCCCCCCACCTCCCCATCCGCCCCCTCGATAATCAGGTCGTCGCTTTCGAGAGCGAGGGCATCGCAGTCATCGGCCAGGCCCTAACAACCTTACACTGCCACTTCTTGCCCTGAGACCGGATCCCCCTTCTCCTCCTTTCCTTCCTGAAGAAGACAGAATGGGCAGGGCCGCCCTCTGCTTCCTGGGGGGGAATAACGCGACCCCCTTCTCCTACTACTCAGCCCCCTCCTGCCAGAGGGGGACAGGGAAGGGAAGTGACCCCCCCTCCTCCCTGAGGGCGCGCGAATGGGCGGAACCACCTCTTCCTCCTTCCTGAAGGAAAAGAGAATGAACGGAACCTCCACCTCCTCCTTGCGAGCGAAAGGAAAAAGCAGGAACCTCCTCATCCTCCTTCCTTAGGGAATAGCACAGGGGGGGACCTCCTCCTTCTCCTTGATGGAGAATCGAAGGAGAGCAACCTCCGTGTCCGATATGAAGCCTTGTCTCCGCCCCATGAAAAAAAAACCTTGAAAACGCAGGCCCCCGATACGCCCCCGAAGCCCTCGGACCCCCGTGGACGCGGCAGCGCCGCGATCCTCCTTCCGACCCGGCCTGGCAGGCCAGAGCTTCGCACGCGGCTCCGCGAGGCGCCATTCGAAGTCAGGCCTCCGCGAGGAAGCAGCTCCGCCAGCCTTCGAGGCGCCGGGGAGATCGTCGTCGCCAACGAACACAGCAGCACTCCCAGCCGGACCACCCTTGGGGGCCTCGCCCCGTTCACTCCCCGCAAGCGTCGGGGGGCCCTCGATGGGGAACTCAAGCGCCGCTCGAGGCGCGTCGAGGTCGGGCCGCAGTTGGCACGAGTCCACGCGGACGAGGCCCCCGCACTTGTCAGGGGCCTTGCCATCGCACTCGCCCGCAGCCCCCTCGCAGAATTGCACGAGGCCGTCTCCGCCTGGGCCGCGCAGCAGGGCGGACAGCGCGGCTGCCCCCGACCCTGACCACGTCCATGAACTCGCCTTCCTGGAAGCAGCCCTTCCGCCCGCTGACGGCGAACGCTCCGCCCCTCGCGGACATGGCGAAGTGCTTCGCGGAGCCCCGGCACTCACCTCTGCGCTCGAGCACCTCGCCGTCACGCACGGCCATGAGAGGAGGAAAGTACTAGTCACTTTGGTCGTTCGTCTTCCACGGCTCAGGGCGCTTCGCCACGGGGCCAGTCCTCGTTCTGGCTGCGGCAGCCGCCTTGGTAGAGGCGGCTTCTCGTCGACGAGCGCGGGAACGTCTGATTGAGGCCTGCTCTTCCCGCTGCTCCGTCGCTTCGCGTTCGGCCTGACCTCCCCGCCCTCGCCGCCAGCTGCCGCTGGTCTCTTGAACGCCGCGCCCGCGGCGGGCGGGGGCAACGAGGCGGGTCGGCCCTTCACGCAGCCCGCCACGCGAGCGGCCCTGCCCCGCCCCGCGGGCGGGCGGGCGACATGACCGCCCCTTGCCCGAAGGCGACCCACGCCTCACGGGCGGACCCCCCGGAATTCGGGGTCTAGCCAGGCGGCGCACACCCACCTGCTCGCAGCAAGCTCTCTCCTCAGGGCGATAAAGCCCGCCGCGGGCACGCGCGCGCGGACGGGGGCGCGCCGCCCCAGCCGTTTTGGGCCCGCTTGAGCCCAGACAGCTACGGAGGAAGCCATCGAGCTCCCTCAAACGTTCCCCGCCAGACCCCCGTGCAACATGGTAAACCAAGAGCACATCCATCATCGTCATCATCATCATCCTCAGCAGCATCAGCAGCAGCAGCATCTACATCACCAGCATCAGCATCATCATCATCATCATCATCAGCAGCAGCATCATCATCATAATCAGCATCAGCATCGTCAGCAGTAGCATCATCATCATCGATAGCGTCAGCGTCAGCATCAGCACCCTCGCCAGCGCCATCGCCGTCGGTGTCGCAAGCATCATGATCATCCACATCAGCATCAATAAAATCAACACCCGCATCATCATCAGTAGAATCACTATCCTGCTCGTCCAGCTCCGCCTCCCAACAGCCTTTTCGAGCAGGTCCTCACCGTAGAAGGATGCATCGTGTTGCTCTCATGGTCACCGTCCTGCTTCTTCTCCGCGTCCGCATCAGCGTCAACATCAACGTCAGCATAATCAGCATCTTTATCAGCAGCATCGTCATCATCAACAGCAGCAGCATCATCATCATAATCGCCGCCATCAGCAACATTTCCATCATCAACAGCATCATCATAAGCACCAGCATCATCCGCATCATCATCATTATCATCACCATCATCATCAGATCCCCCACCCGTCCTTGATTTTCAGAGCACTGTCATCTGTCATCCGCATGTGGAGCGAAGCCCAATCGAGAGCGGCGACGGCCAGCAGCGGCGGCGAACAATACACCCACAACTGAAACTGAACAAATCGCCTGCTCAAGACTGCGCTTGCGGCCCGCCGCGAGCAAGGGCGGGAGGTCAAGCACCAGAGAGACAGGGCGGAAAGCTTGAGCGAAATAGAACGGACTCTGTGCATCACCCCCCACACGCTCGCAGGACAAGTCGGAAGTTCCCCACCCGTCCTTGATTTTCAAAGCAATGTTATCTGTCACCCGCATGCGAAGTGAAACCCAATCGAGAGCAGCGACGGCCAGCAGCGGCGGCAAACGGTACAAACACAACTGAAACTTCACAAATCGCCAGACATCGAGCGCCCAAAAATCGCAATCGGCTCGGCGGAGACCGTCAACTGTTTGTTCGGGCTGGAAGGGCGAAAGGGGCACAGGTGGAGATTGCCTCAAGACACGGTCAAAAGCGCCATCCACAAAGACATCGGCCATGGAGTTAGAGAGGACGTGAGGATATGCGGCGGCGCGAGCCGTCCAGTGCACACTGAGGCCATCACGGCCATGGAGAATCTGGCGTCTCTTACCTGAAAACGCGCATATCCCTCGGAGTGGGTGGCAACGCTTTGAGAGACCCGCGGCCCTGTAGGCAAAAGAAAAACACGATACCTGGTCGGTTTGCACCACTGGGCACCCCAGCCGCAATAATTCGCAATTATGTCCTGCACTTCCGACCATCGAAGGACGCGACGGGCGGAATCTACTTTCCACATGTAGGATGACTGTCGGTTCCCCCATAAAAAAGAAAACGCATTAATTGACAAGCTTTGAATATCCGAATGGACACCTGTAGCATACTATTGCCCTCGTCAACCATGGATGGCGTCGTGGCCGCCACAAGCACTTGAGAAATTGTCGCAGGGATCACCTGCAAGAAACCCCAAGCACCTGTCGCCCCTAATCATCCGAATTACGAGTTTAGAGACAGAGGGCCTCAGGAGGCCCCCCTGTGGGCCTTGCAACACACCAAAAGAAAACACCGAGAAGCCTCGCTTCCTCAAAGCCTTTGAGAACTGACCTGTCTTGGCGCGGGATGGGAGCAGGCGACGCCTCTCACGCAGGCGGCGGCCAGCAGCGCGGGCAGCTCGGCCTCCGCGCGCAGGGCGTAGTTCCTGGCGCGCGTGGTCATCTGCGTCCACACCGCCTGCACCAGTCCACGCTTCTTGCAGCGGCGGACTGAGGCCGGCTGCCTCCACCTGCCCCGGCGCTGGACCTCGAGGAGCGAGATCGGCCC